AACAGGCTTGTGATGTTGGAAGCTCATCAAGGTGTTGTTTTGTTGTTCATCTTCCTAATCAGAGCAGATGTCCAAACAGGACATTCCAACAGTGGTAGAAAGAACAGCTGAAAGGTTTTCACCAATGGGTGATGAAAAATATAGCTAGTAAGTCTGTACAACTCTCAGAGTCACAGCCTGTGTAACTGAACATACTATGGTAGAACTCAGGGCCACAACTGAAACAAAATCACTTGAAAGAAGTGTTCTCTATCCATTGCTCTTTTCATTTCAGACTGTGCTGTTATTCCACTTTCTTGATGCCCATTGGTAATACACACTCCTTTGTTGGGTCCTTGAGTTAGCTGTAGTTTCCAGATATTTTGTTATTACTGTCACATACACTAGCAGTGATGTTGTCCAAGAGAATGAGTCCTGGAATATTGCCAAGAGTCTTGTAATAGCAGGGCATGGACAGTGGAAGGGCCACTGTCAAGTTCAAGTGACGTGTGTTCACTGTGAGGAAGGTGTACAATTCACTAAGGAAATAGGACAACATTTCAGATAAACCAAGATAAAGCTTCACACCACACTACAGCAGACAACCTACCTGTATGGTCTACCCAGTATATAGAAAAGTTGATTTACATTGCAGCCAATAATCAGCTCAAGAAACACCCCATGCCAACCTTTGGTAAAATACCTAAAAGAAAATTCTCCCCTCCAGTACAGAGCAGGGGTGCATGCATGAAACATTCAGAATACTATATCAGTAAGCTTAAGAATCTGGAACTATAACAAAGTGACATCTTGGTGAATGCCAACATTGTAACTCTGTTCATAAATGTCCCTGTTGAAGCACTCGATCTTCATGGTCTAAAAAGTCCAAGACACATGATGAGTTAGTTGAACAACCATCCCTCAATGCAGATGGTGTAACATAACTTCTAGATCTGTGTTTATAGAAGACACTACCAAATTGATGACATGTTCTACCAACAAACAGTGGGATGGCTACAGGATCCCCATTTTCCCCAGTTATAAGCAAGCTTTACATAGAAAACTTAAGAAGGCATCACTAGGACAAAGTGACTTTAAGACCAAACATCTGGTCCAGATATGTATATGATGTATTGATCACATAGTAAATCTAAACTGAATAAGTTTCTCTCCCACCAAATGGATTAAAACAAACATTCAAGTTTACCATAGAAAAGAGGCAACTCATATTTTCTTTGCTTAATGTACTAGTTGATAGAACCAGCATGATGATCAAGACAAGTGTACACCTCCAGTAACCCCCACAGAAGCAAGCCAGGAATAGTCAAAAATCTAGAGACGAGTAACATTTCTATGCAAAAATGAAGATAGCTTGAAAAAGGAACAGTCAGCTTTGAGAAACACATCTTCAGCAGCAGGTAGCATATCGAAGTATATCGAGAAAAAAGTACAGTTGGGAATGGCTTCAGAATATGAATGGCATTCATATAATGAACAAGGTTATGATAATCATAATCAGCAAGCATATACACTCCATGAGAATGTTAGAAATGTCCAGGTCTGAGGACAATAGAATGCAGTAGAATAAGACAGAAACTATATACAATGAAGTGAACAGGATCTCTGCGAAGCTGATGGAGCAACTTTTCATCAGAACAACAGAACAGGTTACTAGTCAACTAGCCTACAAGTAGAAGCACCTTCCGTATGTCTCACCCTACTATGGAATAGGAAGTAACCAAATGTGTAACATAAGTAGACATATAACTTCAATCATTTCTGGGCCAACTCAATGGTCTAGTGGTTAGCATACTAGTCTGTTATTCAAGAAATCATAGGTATGACCCAAACTGCTTATATTAATAAAGAAATCCTACAGTATAATGACAGCCATTCACCTGAAGATTAGAGAAGAGCCAACTGCCAAAAACATTATATATATATGAAGGAATACCTCAGTTGGCAATGTCCAGCAGAGTACTATAAATCAGTGTTGTTGTAGGATTCTTTTTTGCATGATTCTCTGCTAAAGGCCATTCTGAGAACAAATATTAAAGAGGGTCTTAATTTCCTTTCAGTCTGCTTCCTGATACATTATGTTCATATTTTCCTATTTTTGTGTATTTACCTAATGAATTTCTTGTTTTAAAAGTTACTGAACAAGAAGTGATTCATGTAACACCATATTTGTCTAATTACACTTAACACTTTTAATAGGAACAGAAATGGTGAATGCAGCAGTTCACATTGTCCAGTTTACAAACATCACACTGAGTACCAAGTTTGAGATTTGGCAAGTGAATGTGGAACTAGTTTCAGTATTTCTGCTTTTTATACCTCTTCGTTCTTAGTGGATATTGCTGGTACTGTCAACATTATGTAAACTTTGCAAATGTGCCTTTGAATATGAAAATGTTTATTTGTGTGTATATTTGGGTTTTGCAGCAACATGGCTCTGTGTACTGGCAAAAGGGTGCATATGAGAAGCTCCAGTCACTGCAGCCAAACAGGTTCTTGCATGATCAGTTGAGAAATGCATTTTCATTGGCTGATTCTCCCACATGGCAAGACTCAAGCACAAGGATGCAATGTCAGGAACTGGAGAATGTTGTTGGTGGTCCTCAGGTATGCAAGGATACTTCTCCAGTTTTATAAATTTATACCACTTAAAGATTGGGTGTATCAAAAACAACAGAAACTAATGTACTTGACCTAAAAGACTAAAGAGTTAAACATATGAATCTTATAAAGACAGTGTTATAAAGAATAAATTTAACTTGTTCTTTTATACTTTTCCAAATATCTTTGAAGCTTGTTCTTCAATTAAGTATAAGAAGTATGGGAAAAACAAAGAATGACTGGATTATTCAAGGAATTAAAATATCTTGCAAATGTTAGAAAGGAAAGACAAAGTATGTGATCATGTCTGAGCTTCAGAATTCAGGACAGAATCAGAATATGAAGATAGCAAACGAATCGTTCAGAAATGTGACAAAACTCAAGTACTTGGGGACAACACTAACATGTCAGAATGACATTCATGGTGATATCAAGAGCAGATTAAATTCAGGGAATGCTTGCTATCATTCAGTCCAAAATAGTTTGTCCTCCTATCTCATATATAAAAACTAAAGGTTATACAAAAGTATAATTTTGCCAGTTGTGGTGTATGGGTGTAAAACTTTTGTCTCTCACTTTGAGGGAGGAACATAGTTTGAGGGATTTTCAGAACAGAGTTTTGAGGATATTTGGACCTAAAAGGGAGGAAGACAGATCATGAAGAAAATTACATAATGATGAACTTCACAGCCTGTACTAGTCACCTGATATTGTAAGAGTGATTAAATTGAGGAGGATGAGATGGGCAGGACATACAGCATGCATGGGGGAGGGGAGCAGTGTTTAAAAGGTGTTGGTTTGGAGGCCTGAAGGGAGAAGACAACTGGGAAGACCTAGTATAGGTTGGAGATTAACATTAAGATGGGCCTTAGGGAGAATGGAATCGATGGAGCAAACTGGATGTAGCTAGCTCAGGATGGAGTGGTGGTGGGCTTTTGTGAACATTAAGGAAAGTGGGCTAATCTTTCACAAGCCAAGTAACAATTGACTTTTCAGAGAATATCCTGCATCATAGAGTATGTAAGTGAATGTAAAAGGAGTCTACATATCTGTAGTAGGAATGTTAATGACCCAAACTTGAACAATTTATATTATGTATTGTAAAATCCTGAATAATATTATAAATGAGGCTAATATATGGCATTACAGTAGACTAACAAAATCAGATAATAAAAACAAAATGGAACATAATACAAAGGGAGACAAGAAAGATACATTTAACTTAACAGATGCTATCTCTTCTTGCAAACAATGGAAAAGTAAATGATCCAGGAACACTTGGTGATACTTGCAATGATTTTTTCCTAACAATTGCTGAAAGCTTAATTTTCGTCAAGTGGGGACAGAATATGCTACTTCATTTTTAAAAGATGTATTTCCTGTAAAATCTCCTGGTATTAAAGTTAGTTTGACCACTGACACTGAGATAAAAAGTATAATCCATTCTCTCAAATCAAAAAACACTTCAGATTATGATGATGTAATAAGTAAGAATTTATAAGCTTCTTCAGCATCAATTAGTAATCTATTATCACTCACTGCATACTGGAAAAAATCTTGGACCATCATAAAATATCAGGAGTGAGGCCACTGTACAAGAAAAGTGACAAAACTAGTTTGACAAACTACAGGCCAATTTTATTATCAACTATTTTTTCTGAAGTATTTGAGAAGGCTATGTTCAAAAGGTTGGTCTTCATTTACATACCAACAACGTATTGGTCCCAGAAGAATCTGCCTTCAGGAAGGTGTATCCACTGAATATGCAGCCTCCAAACTAACATACAATATACTAAAATCTATTAATCAAAAAATGCATTTTGGAGGAATTTTGTGTGTTACAGAAAAAGCTTTTGACTGTGAAATTGTTTTCACTAAATTACATCTGTATGACAATCTAAGAATAGCTGCAAAATGGTTCAGATTCTGTCTAAAGGAGAGAAAAAAATATCTAAGTAATAACACCTAAAAACAATGAAAATTTGTTTGCAAAATGGGGAGCAATAAAATGTGAAGTTCCAGAAGGGGCCCTTGCTTTTACACAGTATACATAAATGACTTTCCTGCAACAACAAATTATTTAAGAAAACCCATAATATTTGCTGATGACACAAGTGTCATAATTTTTAGTAAAAGTGTTTATTTCTGTGCAACATCAAACATACTCCTCTATCATATGAGTAAATGGTTTACTGCTAATAAGCTGGCCCTAAATGTGGATGATACAGACATAGAAAAGAATTATCATAAATAGCTAAGCACAGTATGCTTTAAGTATTGGTTAAAATTGAAAGTACATGTAAGAGTCAGAAAATACAAAATTCCTGGGTGTGCCAATTGATCACCTAAAATTAACAAATCATATTGATAAATTGATACCTAAGTTGAGCATGTTACACAATTGAATCCATGTTGCATGTCAGCAACACTGACGCACTGAAATCAGTTTATTTTGCTTATAATGAAGTATGGAATATTTTTTGGATTAATTCATCTAACAGCAAAAATATGTTTACTTTACAAAAGAAAATTGTTAGGTTAATGGCTGGTGTCAAACGTATAAAATCATGAAGAGATGAGAAATCTTTGCTCTTCCATGTGAATACATATTTATTCATTTATAAATGAACTTCATTGTAAATAACCAAGAACATTTTCAAACTAATTCTACTGTACACAGGGTTAAAACAAGGAACAAGAATTAGCTTCACAGACAAATTGCCAACCTCATGTTTTCAGGAAAGTGCATATTACTCAGGCATAAAAATTTTCAACACCATACCATCCTGAAGAACCTATGAACATTATGGAAACGCAAATAAACATTATACCAATAATAGATTTTATAACACAGTACTGGAAAAACTGGAAAGATCATATTTTAGGATACCACCCAAAAGGAAAGAGATGTTTGGGCTGACCCCTCAAAAGATGGAAAGATTCTGTTATGTAATGCTCATAACAGGCTGTAAGGCCTATACTGGAAAGGAATAAGAAGTTGGTCAGATTTCATGGGTCTTCTCAATAGAAAGGCATAGTTTAAAATAACATTAAGAAGGTACTTAATTACACACTCCTTTTAGTCTGTTGATGAATTTTGTATTGTTCACAAATCAGTCTTAATGTTCATTAGGATTTTATTATCTTCATGTAATATAAATGGGTAGTATAGTAAAATGGTTGGCCTATAAATAAATTCAGGAAGAACGTGAGTGTTAGTATCCTGTCAGCAGGCATGTGGCCAAAATCAGATTAGAGTGGCCAATAAATCCTTTGAAAATGTGACATAGTTAAAATATGTGGGAACAACAATAACAAATAAAAATGATTTTTATGAAGAAATTAGAGGAGACTAAATTCTGGAATTGCTTGCTATTTCTCAGTTCAAAATATTTTGTCTTCCTGTCTAATTTCTAAGAACCCAAAGATTAAAATATACAAAACAATAATTTGCCTGTTGTTTTGTATGGGTGCGAAACATTGTCTCTCACTCAGAGGGAGGAACAGAGATTGCAGGTTTTTGAGAATAAAGTGTTGAGGATATTTGGGCCTAGGGGAGAATAAGATGGTGTATGGAGAAAACTGCATAATGATGAGCTTAAAAATTTGTACTCCTCCCCAGTGTTGTCAGGATGATAAATCAAGAAGAATGAGATGGGTGAGGCATGTGGCATGCATGGATGGGGCAAGAAGTGTGCACCAGGTATTGGTTGGGAAGCCTGAAGGGAAGAGCCACTGGGGACACCTAGATGTAGATGGGAGGATAATATCAAGCAGGATCTGTGGGAGATAAGATTTGAAGTTGATTGGATTTTGTTGGCCCAGGACAGGGACCAGTGGAGGGCTTAGATTAATTCAGTGATGAACCTTTGGGTTCTTTGAGCCATCTAGTTAGTTGGTTCTATTTGCATAACTTGTTCTTGGATTTTGTTTACAGAAATTGGCAGAGATTACAGGATCACGAGCATATGAAAGGTTCACAGGTCCACAGATAATGAATATGTACCAGACAAAAAGGGCTGTATACAACAATACTGAAGTAAGTCACACTACTGTTTGTGGATATTTGAATTCTGTGTGCTGTTGGATATGTACTTATCAAAAACAAGTTATAGAACATATGCATAATGTAACAATTCTGCTATATTCTCCAGAATTTGACCTTTGTAAGAGGTACCTATGTCTCTGATGTTTGGATTCAGTGATTTTTGCATGGGTGCATTGCCTGCAACATCAGGCTCGGTAATGTCATTATGTAGGATTGCCCTGTGTGCTTGGCTGTTAGTTGGGGTTCTCCAGGCAACAGGGTTTCCTTTCCTACCCAGTAAATTCCATATAAAGTTCCTGTTTTTTGTTGTCTCATCATAAAACCTGGAATGTTCTGACAGATTTTTATACCATGTGTTAAACTCTAAATGTCAGAGGGAATGTATGTGTCCCATAATATGTATTTGCTAGTGGCCAAATGCAGGACTGTTGTCCTGATGTGTAATATCATTATTAAAAGTTTTATATACTTGGATGATTGTGCGCTTTTATAGTGACACTGATGCTGAAATAAATTAACCTGATTTGAGTGACATTGGTGGTAATTCTGATGATGGTCAGGCAAGTACAAAATTAGGTGGTGGTGGTGGTATTTGACAAAAATGATGGAGACAATGATGACTGGGCTATCTGGGACGAAAATCATCATGATTTCTGTAAGATACCATATTGTGCCTCATCTGGTTATAAGCCACCGTGTAATGGACAAAATGCGTTTCTTCACATAATTTTTTATGTTTTTAATGCATCTTTGATGAAATATATGCTAAAACCAGTAGACATGTAAGTGAAAAAATAAATAAAGCCATGCCTTTGAAAAACCATTTGATTTGTGTCTGGTGTGAAGATGTCACAACTAAAGAGCTTTTGGCTTTTCATGGTGTTATGTTTTTTATGGCAAGACATGTGAAACGTTTTGCCAGGGACTTTTTCTCTGAACTGCAGCTTGACTTTTTTTACTTCTACAATGGTGTATTTTAAAGGAAGAAATTTTGTACAACTATTCTGGGGTCTCCATTTCTCTTGTGCTCCTAGGGCTGAAACTCCAGATACGCAAATGCTGTCCGAAGCTAGTAAGGTAAAGACTGTAATTGATTATGTCGAATCAAAATGTTTGGAATTTTATATCTTAATGCAGTATTTATCTGCAGATGAATCATCTGTAAGTTTCAAGGGCCATATAGTATTCAAAATGTACAATCCACAAAAGCCAACAGAGTGAGGACTTAATACATATGTTACTGCAGATTCCACAATTAGGTATGTTTGTGGATCCCCTATTATGGGTCAGTAACTACAAATGTCTGATGCACCCAGAATTAACATTTACCAGCAGAATTGTTCTAGAACTCACAAGCATGCTACTAAATGTAACATCCAAAAGGGTATCATCTGTACAAACATTGAAACTTGGAAAACATAAAATAGTTGCCTATAGAAAAGGGTACAGAGGTGGTGGTGGTCTGTCGCCCTCTGTGGACTAGTGGTTAGTGTGATCGCCACTGGACCCAAGGTTCGCGGGTTCAATCCCGGCTGAGGTCGATGGATAGAAATCTTCATACTCACCGCTGTGAAAACCTCAAATCTTACGTGATAAAAATCCATAGCACAACTTCCTTCAGAAGGGAAGTAAAGCCGGCAGTCCCATGTCATAGATTTACGGCAGGTAAAAGAACATTACCAGCATGATACAAGACGTTTTGTAAGCAAAATTCAGCGCCCATTTCTCACCCAAGTCTCCTGATTAACTGCTTGATGGCTCTGAGAGTCAAATGAGGATTGAGTAGAAATTGTGCAGTTAGTGGGCTGGTCACTCACTTCTCATAAATGCACACTTTAAGGCCAAGTAACCTCTGAAAAGGAGGTGGCAAAAACCCACAACCGGGTTCGAGAGCCAAGAAACAACAACAACAACAGAGGAGGTCTCCAGGAAAACTGCAAAAGAGGTGGAAGTTTTTCAGAAACCTGTTGTGATAGATTACACTTCTAAAGTGGGAGGAGTAGACAGAGAAGACCACTACTGTTTCAGCTACTAGTTCCTGGAAAAAACTCTGAAATGGTGGAGATTTTGGAGGTCTCCCTTGTGAATAGTTTCCACCTTTACAACATGAGCCAGAAGTCAGCAAACTTTTCATGTATGTCTTACCTCAAGTTATATAAGAGAATGCTTGAAGGATTGGTAGGAAATGTTCAGAACAAAATGCCCTGAATGCAAGGAGGATGAAGTTCAACAGGTGTAGAAGAGCATCTGAATGGCAAACTGCACCTAATTCGGGCACATGAAGGGAAGGTAACAAAGGATTGTGCAGTTTTCCATTAGATATGTGGCTGTCATATTTACGTAGAATAGAAATATTTTATATCTGATAAAGTTACAAAATAAATATCCAATCTTCCTAGTAGGAAATTCTATTTTTGTAATTATTTTTGATGCATAGAGCCATCTGCCACTGATATATGCATATTCATTTGTCTTCTTATCAAGCATTCTTTATGTGTAGTGACTTCATTGTTTACACTTCACATTCTGTTTCACTTTTATGGTGTTGAACTTGGTCTTGAACTTATGAACACAAACAGCTCAAAAGAATGCATAGCTCTGAGATTATTAAGTCCAGTGTTTATATATCGTATATCTGCATGTAATATGAGATGATGTAGACATTGCCACAGTCATATCTATCAACTTGGTCTTGCTTTATTTTCTACTAGATGACAACAAGCAGAAGGGTACCATTTACTATACATCTCACTAGCAACAATGGTACAGTCCATGAAAAATATTTCACACAGTATTCAAACAGTAGGAACTGTTTTCCTTTCAGAACATATTTTCACCATATTTAGCAAAGTTTCTTCCATTTTATGCAGGTTACAAAAGAAAATTATGTAAGATTTGAGGTTTTCACAGCGGTGAGTATGAAGATTTCTGTCTTCTGGGTTGTTGTGCTGTGTAGTCAGTGAATATTCATCGCCCTGATGATGGAAGCAGTATGACCTCTGAAACGTTGGTTAACATCGACCAGACTACACAGCGCAACAACCCAGAAGACAGAAATCTTCAAAAGAAAATTAAACTACTTCATAATAGTAGTTGAATTTAAGTAACTTAGCAATATTAAATGAATCAGCAAACATCTTTAGTTGTATTTAAAGGGGTCTGCAAAGGGGTTAAAGGAACCGGTCTTGAGATGTAAGCCTTGATTATATTCATGATGGTGAAGAGATATCTGTATGCTTATTAAAATCCCTCTGAAGGCTCTTGAAATAATTATAGATCTCTCCGACCATCTGTTCTCTGCTGTGCTTCAAGGTCAAAATCAGACAGGTGTCTAAACACGCTTCAGAAGAATGTCAGCTTATCATTGCTTTCATTATATTAGCACCATTTTAGTTTATGCCATCAGTTAAACAGTTATCAGTAAAATAATAGTATAATTACAGTACTTGCATTTGCATTCTGTTTCTTTTAGCATATTGCCAGTCAGTTTTCATAAATAAAATTTTTTGTGGTACACCCTGAAGCAGGGATCAACACACAATCCCACATCATAATATCAGTATTTAAATTCTGTTATTATTCCATTGGATTTGTTGAAAATGTGTGATGTCAGACTTGTTTTCCTTTTGAGGACCAATGCTTCTACTGTGTCAGGGTCAACAGGCTTGTTGAATTAAGAGCTCATTCTTCTGCATTGGGTGGTCTGTGATCGAGGTACCCACATCCTCAAGTCACAATTTTAATAACATATTTCTGAAACACGAGAAGGGAAGAAAATTAAACAGTTTAGAACTAAAAGGTCCAGAAGGTGAGAAAAGTTTTTAATTCATTTCCATGTGCTTCTGTTAATTAACTAGCTATTTGTGATTCAACATTTCTGTTTACATACCCCATGTCTGTTATAGTTTTGTAAAGTGGCAGGTTTCACAGTGTTCTCATACTCATCACAGAAATTGCCTTCTGCTGAGGATGATGCATATTTGTCAACATGTTTAGATTTTTGTTTGTCTCTGTTTGTTTCTCTGGTATTGTCAGATAAAATATAAAAAGAAAATCTGGTGATATCAGAAATAAATTCAGATTGAAATGAAATGACACAGAGACTAGGGTGAAAAAGATGACTTAATAGCCACAGCCACAGTTTGGTCATGCTTCACCCTAGTCTTTTTGTCACCCCATTTCAGTCTGAATTTATTTAAAAATCACCAGCTTTTTTTGATTTTATCAAATAGTACCAGAGAAATGATTTAGGTATGTAAATCATCAAATAACTTGGGAGAAGAGAAAAAATTATCCATTTAAACTGTATGTAGTCCAGAATTTTCAGTCCTTTTAGTAAGTCCTGGCACAGTTGTTGAGTTGCAGTTATTGTGGCAGCTGCACTTTTCTTGTCTTTGCCTTCCTAATTTTGGTAAGCACAGTGACTTCGTGGACTGCTAAATATTTAGTTAGACTGTAATATTTAGTATATGCATTATCAAAAATAGTTCGTGTTTCCATAACCTGTAATAATTTTTGTCTGTCTTTTCTGTTTCATTTTTCTCCCCACTGAAGTGTAGAAAGCCCAGTATGCAAAAGAATCTGTCTCATTTCTTGTATAGTCACATCAGTTAGGGGGAAAGCATCCTTCATCAAGTGTGTCCAAGTATGTAGTAATATCTGTGTAGCTCTTCTTCCAGTAGCTGCATAATTTCAAGAACAAAGAGCATGAATGCACTTAGTGGGGAAGAGTCTGTGTTTATATTGGGTGCTGTTTTTCTACCAACCCACTGAGACCCATAGGTGGAAGGGTGGCAAGGCACAGTAAGACATTGCTTTGGGTCCTCTTCCCCATGAGGCCTCAAGAAGGAAGGAAAAGGATTGACAGACAAATAAATAATACAACACAGCAAATAATGATAAATAAAGAAATAAATGTAATTAAATATTCAGTATGATTACCCCCAACAATGAAGCAAAGAACAACATGATATTGGTGAATTTTCCACTCTTTTGTGTTTATTTATTTTTATTACAGCTTCAAAATCTCCTTCTTTGAATAATCATAAACTGTGCATGTGGGCATGCACTTGCTTCATATGAATTTACTTCTATGTTATAGTCAGTTGCTTTTAAATGTTAATTTGTGCAGAAATTGTGCATTATTAAAGTTAGTATTAAAATATATTAAAATTGTCCGTCAATCACAATAAAGTAATAAAAGATAATCAGATGGTTAAAATATTATCTTTTGTTCCGTATCGAGTACTCGATTTACATATGGAACATTTTCGACATGTTTCGGCTTTCATAGAGCCGTCATCAGGTGTATGTTATAAACTCGTAACTCAATTACTAATTTTTAATTTTCTTATCATTTCTTCGTTTTTCACATTGTATCAACATTTGTTGTTGTATTATATATCATTGATACAATCGTATTGTCGGAGTGATGTTAATGTTGCGTATATTGGTCTGTGAAATAAAGGATTCAAAACCATTAATGAAATTGAATATAGAAAACAAAATAAATAAATGAAAGTAAACTTATAAACTTACCAGAGAAGTAATATCGAAGATTTAAGAGGAGAGATCAGAAGTATACTGTATCGGAGCGAGGTTGGTTATTGACTGCGGTGTTATTGGTGAAAGGCGGTTTGTCATGGTTGGGGTCAAGGTACTGAAGTGCATTAAAAATGGGGTTGTTAAGCAAACTGTTATTATCATTAAGACATATGTTTTGTTTATAAGTTTGATATATGTGATATTTTTCTATTGTATCTCTGTGTCTTTTGTTTTTTACTATTTTTAATGTGTCCATTGTTTCATCAATTGTGTTGTAAGCATGTCCTGTATTGAGAATGTGCTTAGAGTATGCGGAACTATCTTTATTGTGTTTTATGGCTGCTATGTGTTCTTTGTATCTGTGTGTGAAAGTATGACCGGTTTGACCTATATATATTAGTGGACAATTCTTGCATTTCAATTTATATATACCTGGTAAGTCGTATTGGTTGTTTATGTTTATTATTGGTTTTTGTTTGAGGATGTTTTTTATTGTGTTTTTTGTTTTGAAGGCTGTTTTTATTTTATTTTCTTTAAATAATTTAGTTATGAATTTGGTTTCTTTACCTATGTATGTAAATGTGGCCCATTTATTTTGTATGTTTTCGTTTTCGATGGGTTTTGTCGTATTATTAGGTTTTTTATTTAGTTTGTAGTTATTATATCCGTTTTCTTTAAGAATTTGTTGAATGATGTTTAATTCTATTTGTTTGTTTATTATAGATATTGGATATAGATTTTTTCTGTTTAGTAAGTAGTTGATAGACATTTGTTTGTGTTCAATGGGGTGGCAAGATGAGGCATGAATTATTGTGCTTATATCTTATAATATATTATTAAAGTTATAAGTGTATTGTTTTTTAAGTACTCCAAAGTTTATTTATTTGCATAAAATTTGCAATTTCTTGAAACACAGCAAACATATTTTTATATTCTGTTCTGTGTAATTAGAACATTCACTTAGGCATAAACACTTTTGTGTTCCTCTGACATGAACTGTATAACATACTCCATAATATTTCCCTGAAACATCACATATCTGGGAGAGTTAGTCAGTTTAATATCGTATTTCCTTTTGTTTAATATATGTCATGAAAATCCTTTCAGAGGTTCTGAAATTGTTACACAAGGACATAGGCAGACAGAGAAATGTTGAAGCTTATAGATGCATTTTTGTGAACATGCCTAATAAAGAACAGATTAGAAATCTCTTAGTTTGTGGTCTTCTGGTTATTGACACTGCATAGCATTGTAGGTGGTATCCAACATTCCTCCAGAACACAGCTACACAAACCCTAAGAACCCAAAATTATGAAAGCATTTCCTATTAGATACAAATCCAAAATACATATATTTTACAAGAAATGACCACTAACTCACATTTTTGTTTGTTACTTAAGCCAATATGAAATTGAATTTGCTATGGGTAAAGAAAGCATCATTCTTTGGTGGAAATGAAAATGAAGTGTGAAGTCAGTTTTATAAATTTGTATTTTTATGTGGTAAAGCATCACACAAGAATAGCGGCAGTTTCAAATATGATGTGAGAACATAATGGCATGTTTGTTCAGTGTGATGCAACTTTCAGGAGTAGGAGATAAGTGTCAAAAATTTATGGACTGAGGCAGTGTTACCAACGCCCCTCCCCTGTTGGTGTCAGTATGCTGCTTGCTTCTCGTGTAAGATTCTGAGTTCATCAAGAAATGGTGAGAAACAGCACTATCTCTTGAGACCTTCGTAGAAACACCTTGGATCACACTGAACATTCTAGAAGCTGATGTACACAACTGTAGGCATCTGATAATATGTGGTGAAGTTACAAGTACTATAAATATGAGATATGAGCTGAAGGTAACAGCCACTCTAGTGTAGAACTATCGTGCAGAACACAGACCAAGCAATATGAAGTCAGTAGAGAGTAGAATGGCAACCAGAGCTTAGAACAGTGTATTGTGATGTACAAGAGGACATTTCTACCCAAATAATCAGGACTGTGGTTTGTGGAACGTCCGGCATTAATCCAATAATTAATCAGTAATACTTGTAATAGCATGAAATAAATACATCTTGTTGGAACAACCCACTCTGTGCAATCGTTGATTACACCGCAGCACAAAAAGCTTTTTTGGGGGGGGCATTTCACACCTGTGGTTATAACTAACATTTCAGTATTGTGTAAAATTAAATTAATTTATAGACTTTTACAAGGTACATTAATTAAAATGCAAACAAACTCCACTCCTGTCCACATTTGTTTATCAGCTAGCTCCCTCACTCCTATCATAATCTCCTTTGTTTGATATTGTCTCCAACTACCCCAGCTATCTAACACCTTAAACATTACAGTTTTAAAGTTCACTGTCAAGTATGGTGAGTGCTGCAAGTAGATAAGCTCGGGTGGTCATAATGATCGGTTATGCCAGCAGCTTGTTCACCAAGGTTTGGCAGGTGACTCTTTCCAACTTGCATTGAAAATTTATTGTCCTCACTGGTGTTAAAAAAAATGGCCTGGTCCCAAATTTAGGGGATGTCCCCCAGATTTATTCTCATGCTTTTCTTCTGCTGTCTCTATACTTTGTTTGCAAAATCTGTCAGCATTTCTTTCTCTACTGGATTCATTACAGATTGTAGCTCTGGCTAACATGCAATAAATTCCTTCACTAGCCACTTTGCAGATTTCTGTGTGGTTTAAATGCATTTACATGCTTGCCAAAAATTTCCCAAAATTGTTAGCATTGTTTTGCTACACTACATAAGTGGTAATGAGCCGGGATAGCTCTGTCAGTATAGTGACTAGCTACGGGCTGGACGACCGGGTTCGATCCCCGACGGGGTCAGAGGATTTTTCTTCTAGCCTCTGCGTCCAGACCAGCTCTGGGGCCCACCCAGCCTCTACAATGGGTACCGGGGTCCTTTCCCGGGGGTAAAGCCGGTTGGGGCGTGATGCTGACCACTCACCCCAAGCGCCTGTACGGCACATAGCGGGACAAACTTTACTTTACTTTACATAAGTGGTTATTTCATGCCAAAAAATTTATATTTTAATGGATTATTTTTTGCAACCAATCTTTTGTACAGCTTGTTTCTGTTCGCTGTTTTGCACATGTAAAACTTAACCGTAAAGTACCTGATACAGTAGGTAATTTAGCTTCCAGTGACATGTAATGGAAACAAAAAGAATACTGTAAAAGCATCAATCAGATTCACTTGTGATTCTTGCAGAAAGTATGTAGTAAATTTTACACATTGAAAGTATAGGTGGTGTTATTTAATTATTTGTGAATCTGAGTTACAACATTTATTTTGTACCACATCCAACCCAGAACTGTAAGAATTTTTGTGTGGAATGAAGTAACCTGGAATGGAAATATTTTTAATGTGAATTTGTATTTCCTGGAGGGTCAAAGGTCAGATTCTGGATATATCAGTTTGTGTTGAGATTTGAGGTTTACAGTCAGAATATGTTTCATTAGTTTTTATTATGTTTCACCAGTTGTTTGGAAAAGCACTAATAGATATATGCAAAATTTGCCATAAGGCCACTAAGGAGGCACAATTGACTTCTCTGTGGCTAACAAAAGCAATTGTTGAATATTTTATGACTTCTAACAACATGCATTGTTCATTTTACAGCGGATCTCATTAATAAGCAGTTTTGCTTGTTCCTTGTTTCTTGGTAACTATGCACCTATAGACTATGCAGATGCTTCTGGAATGAACCTAATGGACCTGCAAACAAAGGAGTGGTCACCAGAGATTCTCCAGGTTTTGTTAAATGTTCTGAGTTATTTGTACATAGTGCAGTATATACTCACACGTAATCTCGTATGTAGACATGTACAGAGCAGGGTCCTTCGAAGTCACTGAGTAAGTCAGAGAAATTCCTTTCCTTTTATGGAACCCAAATGTTTATCACGTGCCAGATGAATCGAGTCCCCACCCTCTTTCCATAAGGTTAATTTTAATAGTGTCCTGCTGTGTATGCCTAAGCCTTCCAAGTGGTGTCTTACATTCAGACTTTCAAAGTAGAATTTTGTATTCTTGCATTATCTTTTCCATGCCCCAACATTCTCATCTTCTTTTCATTTGATTAAAGAAAAAGACCACTTGATCTTAAGAACAGGTCACTTGTTTCCTAAACTTTGAACATGCTGCTAAACGCACTCACTCTATGGTGCAGGAAATTCTTTGAAAATTTGATTGTATACTCAACTTGTCAAAGAATGGCCCACTTTATTTATGGAACCTGAAGATTCATTACCGTGTTCACAAAAGCTAGTTTTAATTAGCCTGACTAGCTTCTTAGGTACACCAAATTCAAGCAAAATATTGTAAAGAACTTCTCATTTAACTGAATCATAGGCTTTTGTGAAGTCTATAAATAGTTGATGGACTGTCCTATTTTACTCCCACTTTTTCTTTAGCATCTGGCGAAAGTAGTAAATCTAATCAGTTGTAGATCTGTTACAACGGAACCCACACTGATGATCCCCATTAGTTTAGTTGGCATATGGAGTCAGCCTTGCCAGGACAGAATGTTGGATAAAATTTTGCAGACATGATAAGGGGGAGATTCGTCATTAATTATTACAGTCTTATCACCCTTCTTATGAATTGGTACAATAATAGATTCCTAGATGTATGTATATCTATCTGCATAATACCATGAACCCCATGATTATTTAACACCTGGTTAAAGATATTTTTCCACCTATTCAAAACCCTGCAGGTACCTGCAAGCAAAGAATCATTCTCATCTTTGATATTATTAACTCTCAGTTGGTAACCTTTCTTAAATTAATTTATGCCTTTGTATGAATCTCTGATATTTTTGTTTTTGTAATTAGTTTCGAGTTCATTAATTTTGTTTTTCAGGTATTCCCTTTTCTTTTTCCTAAGTGTTCTACTGGTTTCACATCTTAAATTTTGCAGATTATCTCCATTGATTTAGCTTGGGTTTTGCAACTATTGTAATTTAGCCTGCTTCTGTTTGTCTATTAATTTTGAACACTCATCATCAAACCATGGTTTGCCATACTTTAGTTTGTGATATCTTATATTTCCCTTGGCTGAGGTCAAGATATTGTCCCTAATACTTTCCCTAGCACTATTAATATCCAAACTGTCATCTAAGTTCTTGAAAACTGCAGATTTATAGGAGATTTCTAACTGGTACCTTCCCTTAACTCCTATATCATTGAGCTTCTTCAAATCAAACTTTTGCCATGCTTGTTTACTTACTGAAAGTCTCTCCCTTAATTTTTCCACTACCAGGTAATGGTTGGTATCACAGTCTGAAAGATCTGACATCTAATATACTGGCATGTTGTTTTTTTGTAAGTTAAAACATGATCTATCTGATTATGTGTGACACCATAAGGAGAAGTCCAAGTATGTTCATGAATGTCGTGGTGAGGGAATGTTGTGTTTTTACAGTTAGGTTTTCTGAAGTTGCAAAATTTATTTCTCTGACCTCATTATCATTACTAACTTCATGTAGACTTTCCTTACCAGTAATCAGTTTAAAAGTGTCCTCCCTCCTACCTTTGCATTGAAATCTCCTAGCAAAATTTTCATATGGTACCTAGGGAGCTAGTAAAATACCTCTTCTAGTTCTTTGTAAAAGTTATCCTTTGTGTCAGCATTTCTGTCCTCATTTGGGGCATGCACATTCAGTACAATGATATACCAGTGACCCTTTAGAGGTACATACAACATCCTGTTACAAACAATTATGTGTGAGAAATCCTGTCCCTAAGTGGTGATTAACGTTTCCTTTTCCTTAGAAAAAATGTACAATTTTCTGCTGTATCCCTCCCCTTGCCACCTTTCCATCTAACCTCTTGTACTCCCACTACTGACTTGATTGACCCTATCCTGTAGAGACTCTTAATATGCCAAGAAATCAGTCCAGGTCCGAGGCAGTTTAGGGTTTTCATAACAAAACTACGTTTTTACAGTGAGGGGTTGTTAGCCTAATGCCCTGCCCCCAAGCTGGGTTACCACCTCTTGTTGGTTTTCTGTGACTGTTTATTCAACATATTCACAGCTGCCTTCATATCTGGAGGCCTTTCCCTCCATCCGCAACCTGAGGATGCACCATTCCATCATGACAAGGGACCCACTTAACTTGGCTATTGTGTAGTATCCTAAACTATAGTGATCCTGTATCATCATTTGAGAAAATTCCATATTTTAACTGCAGATACTGTAAAGTTTTCTGTTTTGTAACTTGGGACCTACCTCCCAAAATATACTACCCAGACTTTTAATGTTTCATTCTGTTGATCCTCCTGTCTATATCAATACCTCATCCTGTCTATTTCTGAATCCCATCATCTCTCACCATTCTGTTGACCTGACATCTGTTTATTTTTCTAGTTTAAGTTTGTAGTTAAAAGTGATATAGTCTTTGGTTTTTCCAAAATGTCTGGTCCCATTTATAGTCATCCCATCTGTATACAACAGTTATGTCTGGAGACAAAAATTTTGTTTCTGTTTACAGATTTTTATGACCTTTAAGACATGCACTAAACACAAATATACTAGTTACTGCTGTGCTGCTGCTGCTGTTTTTTTTATCCAGACTGTCCAGAAAAAATTTATAGTACCATAAATTATTTGTTCCTCCCATCTTGCCATTTAATCCTGTCATTTTTGATTCAGTGCTCTGCAACTCCCACTTAACCGATTATTTGTAAATAAACTGAGATACTTTGCCTTGATTGCCAGAATATTGTATTGCAATCAAGAATGTTCAGAAACAAGGAGATGCTTTGTCTCCATTGCTCTTTAACTTTGTGTTAGAATATTCTATCAGGAAAGTCCAAGATAGGCAATAGCGTTTGCAGTTTAATGGCACACATCAGCTATTGGCATATGCTGATGATGTTAACTTATTGGGTGACAATTTAAATACAATAAAGAGGAGCACAGACATTTTACTAGAAACTAGTAGAAAGGTTTGCCTGGAAATACATTCAGAAAAAACTAAGTACGCGTTAGTATCCCATCAGCAGACAGGCAGGCAAAATCATATAAGGGTGGCTAATGAAATCATTGAAAGTGTGACAAAGTTCAGATACTTGGGAACAACAATAACAAATCATAATGATGTTCATGAGGAAATTAGGAGACCGTATTCCAGAAATGCTTGCTGCTTTTCAGTTCAAAATATTTTTCTTCTCATCTGATTTCTAAGAACCTAAAGATCAAAATTTACAAAACAACAGTTTTGCCTGTTTATATGGGTGTGAAAAATGGTCTCTCACTCTCAGGGAGGAACATATCAATAGATTGCAGATGTTTCAGAATAAGGTGTAGTGAAGGATATTTGGGCCTAGTGGAGAAGAGGATGGGGCAAGGAGACAACTGCATAATGATGGGCTTAAAAAGTTGTACTCCTCCCCTAATATTGTCAGGGTGGTAAAGTCAAGAAGAATGAGATGGATGGGTCACATGGTGTACATGGATAGGGCAAGAGGTTTGCACCAGGCACTGGTCGGGAAGCCTGAAGGGAAGAGACTGCTGGGGAGACCTAGACGTAGATGGGATGATAATACCAAGCTGGAACTCTGGGAGATAGGAGTTGAAGGTGACTGGATTTTGTTGGCCCAGGCCAGGGACTGGTGGAGGGCTTTGTTTAATTCGGTGATGAGCCTTCCCGTTCCGTAAGCCAGATAGTTAGTTAGTTAATGATTGTGAGACTGAATAGTTGCTGCATAACATAAATGATGGTGTCTTGTCAGTAATTGCTGCTGTATACAGAGTGCTGTTTAATGCATGCATACCCCCCTTAATTTGTAGGTTAGCATGATGTATTTTGTGTTAGTTGTAATATGTTGTTACAGTTTAGCATAGTTGGTGTACAGATTTTTGGTGGGACATGTACCCCCCCCCCCTCCCAATTACCACACACACACACTTGCATGAAAATGATATTTTGACTCTCAGGGAGAATTATTATTACTTTCATTGCTCTCCTTTAGTAGTTTTGGCTCATAAGAGGAAAATTTTGTGTTTTGTGTTGGGTATTAGGCCTTAGAAACAAACTGTAAACAATAAACCAAACCACAGTTTTGCTATTTCTGAACTGAACCTTTAAAATTCATGATTGTGCCTTGAACCTGATCCAGAAGTTTATTAGCAAATGGTTCAAACCAGTTCACAGTTGCTCTGACACCCTTAATGTAACACTGCAGACATAAAAGTAACAGAATTCAATTCCTTTCTTTACCTGTTCCAGCTACAGTTATTTTAAAAAACATCATGAACAATGTAATCTGTGATGTAATGTGCTCATATTCCAGTATTTATGCAGATAATTGTGAATGCTGTTGTCATTATTTCTGCTACTTAATAGAATCAACAAAATTTCTTAATATTGAGGACCAAAAAGAGTCAGCCTGAATTGTATAAATCTTGCCAAGATTGCTCAAAGTACAAATCCACTACAGAAGTCACAGTAGAGACATTCTCAAATGTGGGATTTATTTTATTCCCTCCTAGTTTCAGTATGAAAGGGAATATCTTACAGTACGTTTTAATTGTGAGATGTTATGAAATGTTTGACAGTAGAAGACAGCAAAGGGGCCACAGATGCTGTGCCATAGCACAAGCAGTTATTTGCCAGCTTCTTACCCTGGAGGCTGGGGTAGTCCATGTGGGACTTGAAAGGAAAATTTGGCACTCAGACAAGATTTTCTCTGAGACCTTTCATTTTATACTGTCACTATCATTCCATCAATGCTGCATATTTGCTCATGTATCATCTGGCTGGGGGAGGGACAATGGTCCAGTTATGACCACAGAATCACATAATTAATTTTCTAGTTTATATGTCAGTGTGCAGCATTCCTAGTTGTCATTTAAATAATGATTCAAAGAATTTCTATGAAAACATTATGTGCTCTTGATTTTTGATAGTAAGTTTTGTAAAAATATAACATGTAAGCTTTCTAGGCATTTGACATTCTTTCATGTAAATTATGCATTTGTAGGTAAAACAAAAGTGTGTGTAAAAGAAATTGCTGTTATTCTCAGTAGGGTGGTCGTTGTTCAGTAATCTCTCTACAAATTATATATGCATTGTAATAACCTCCAGTTTACAACATGGTAGACACAACTTTTTCACACATATCATCTTTTAGCATACTTTGTCTTTCATGAGAAAGTCAGTTTTTCTTGGCTCTCAGTTACTGGAGTAGGACTGTGCTGCATGGAGTTAGCTTTTCTAATGTTACATTTATATAAAGTCTTATGTTTACTAGATTTTGTGAATTGGTTCAATCTTGTTACCAAACCTTTTACAGTTCTTAAAGAGCTGAACTGGAACAACCAGAATGTAAGAATAGTTTCTGAACAGATCTTTATTTCACATGGTTCAATGACCTGGGATACCTGACCCATTTTCAGTCATCTGTAATGGGTAAACCCTTATTGAATGGCAGTTGTCAGAAAAAAAGTGTTCATAAATTTGTTTCTCTGCTGTTATGTTTGCTTGTGCAAAGGTCAAATACAAATATATTTTTAGGATAGTACCTTGGTTCTTAGTTAAACACTTTCATTTATTAACGTTTGAAGTTATATACAGTAATTACATGTAAAATCAGTTCGGGTGTTATTCTATACTGATTAGAAGGGATGGATGCATGGATTTTTCTGTTTACATAATGAAACAATGTTGTGTGAAGTGATGTTTATGTGTGTTGTGCCTCTGATCCTCATTTCATCGCAGGTGTATCTTTATACTTGCTTTCATTCATTCATTCATGATTATATTTTTTCATATTAATTGTCTGTCTCCCTTTAATGTTATAAAATAGTGGAACATAGTGACTGCCTTATACTGTATGTCTTGTGCCTGTTGCTTCATTGTTATGTAGTGAATTCACATTTTTGCCTGTAGCTCTTGTAATGTGTTTCACACCTACACAATTGAACAGATGGATTTCAGAATGTGCTGAGTCAGTTTTTAGTGATTTTAAAACAGTGGTCAGTCTGATTTTCATTTTTTTAATCCACTATTATGTGGAAAAGAGAGAGAGTCAAATTTTAGACATAATGACCTTATGAAGTGAAACATGAAGTGTTTTCCAGTCTGTAATTTCTTTTAAATGAAGCAAAGTCATGGCAAATGAACAGTAGCAATTTTGACAACTGACTTATGGCATCTTAGAATACAACAGGCATCAGTATCCTGTATAATTATATTGCCCTTATGTTATTAAAATACATATTTTTGTTAAAATATATGAACAACACATTTCCAACAAACATTGATAAAATTTTCAGTTTTATTTTGAAACCGCAGCATGTTTGAATGATATAACTCTCCAATATTTTTATGTCCAACTAATGAAAAATAATTATCACACTTCCTTGTTCTTTGTTGAGTAGCTAGTAGCCATTCTGTCTAGTTTGTCACCATAACCCATGTGCCAACTGTAGTATTCAACAGTGTCAGGTATATGACCTCTCCCATATTTATCACAGAAGTTGCCTTCTGCTGATTTATGAACAGTTTCTATATTGAAAATTCAAACAGTGGTGTTGTCACTCCCCCCTCCAGCATCCCCACTACCTCATCCCAAACAGTAACTAGGTGCAGTAAACTACAAACATATGATTTTGTTCAATTTCTCAAACTTCTGATCACACTCTGGTCAACCCATAAAAAATACCTTATACCCTGACTTTCAGCAAATGATGAACATGAGCTGAAAACTGTAAACACATGAGTGAAGTATTGTTTCTTCCAGCATCTTTTTAGTATTATTTTTTCTGGTTTACATTCAGATGCCATTGACAGGACCCTGAATATTTGACAATGTCATGATGATATGACTGAATCTTGACAGTTTTTCAGTGAAATTAGTATCCATAATGATTAATAAATCATAGTTCAAAGCATAACTGAATACTGTACAGAGCAAGATTAAAATTACAGTGTCATAACTGGTATAAAATTGTTCTATGCAAAGGGTTACACATGGAGATAACATACTTAACAGTGCAATGTGTAGATGATAAAGGTTTATGTCTCACAATATAATTTCTTGAAGGATTTGCAGTTGAATAACTTTTTAAACAAAAAAGATGGAAAAATGCACCTGTGGGTTGTCATTACATAGTTCTGTCTTGTCCATACACGACATCTTTCTGCTCCCTAAGCATTAAAGTGAATTTAAGTAACACATTTTAATATTATAATAGAAGCGCTGTGTTGAGTTCATATAAAAATATACTATACCTCAGGTTCAAAACACGTAAGTAATAATTTTGGCCTAAAAGTAAAGTAGTATTTAAAATTGATTTATGTAAATGAAACGCTAGGTGTTCCAAGTTATATGATAGAAGTGTTCTCTATCAAATTTCATTTGATTTTGTTAAAGGAATAAAAACTGTATGAGTCCATTTATGCTGATATTAAAGTGGCTATTAAAATGGACCAATAGAAACCAAAATCAAAATGGTTTGACAAGGTTTAGTGCAAGTCTGCTATGCCAGGTTTGAATGTGGTCAGTTGAGTAGTGTGGGCACTGTCACTAGCATAAGGACAACAGGAATTTGATTGGTGATTTTTTTTAACCACACCTTACAAGAAGTGCAAAGTTGCTTGTGTCCAATCTTAATTCCATCAAGTTATCAGGACATATGTAAGTAAAGCTCATACTTGAACACAAAATAGAAGCAAGTGTTATTTTTTTTTTAAAGTATTAGTCAATGCATATGTAAATTGTGGAATCTTATAAAGTAACTATCATCATCGATGAAACTGTACGTGAAACTGATACGAGACACAAGGAAGGCTGTATGTACTACCAGCAGTTATAAGAGGATTTTTAAAAATGTGAAAGTTACAGACTTTGATTATGTACATTCATTTTCTTCTTTCTATAAAGATTTCTTTATAGAAGGGGGAGAGATTTTGACTGTGTGCTAATCCATTATGTAATCAGATGCACAGATTGTATTGCCTGCTAGATGTAGAGTAGTGAATGTTATATGTTGTGCATTGTGTGTTTTCAGGCAGTAGCACCTGATGTAGAAGCTAAGCTTGGTACCCCTGTTCCTTCATACACTAACATAGGTCCTGTTTCGAAGTTTTACGTAGAAAGATTTGGATTCAACCCTGAGTGTAGGGTGATTGCATTTACGGGTGATAACCCTGCTTCACTCATAGGTAACAACTTAAAGACAAGTTACAAATTAAATAGAAACAGAAGGAAATATGAACCTCAGAGGAATGCTGTGAATAAGGTCATGTAACAACAATTTTAAGAAATGTGTTTTCTTTGTTTGAAGTAGCCTTTCTGCATAGTTTGATCTGTATTTCAGATCACTGATTTATAATTTCTGGAATGTGGGAAGTGTGGATAATAAATTATGTTATTTTACAAATTGAACTTTTGTTACCAGATTACATTCCGTGAAATGGTTTATGGGTATTCAGATAATACATCTTGTATGTTGCTCCACCTAAATGATGTAGATATTTATAGTGCCCTTTATATACTGAAAGGATTAATAGCTAATTTTCCTTGTTCTCACTGTAATGGGAACTGAGAAAATACTTAAGCTCAGACATTTTAATAAAATCTACTAAGACATGTTAACACTAAAACCTATCAGTGGTATAATCACAGATATACAGTATTTAAGTTTGTTATTTTGTATGTTGAAATTGTGAATGAGGTGGGAGGATAACATTTAGGTGGATTTTAGGGAAACAGGTTATGAGGATGGGAAATTGGCAAATATTGACAGTGTTAAACATTTTTATTTCCACCACCAGAGAGTGGGTTTTGTAATATCATCTGTTCTATATATTTGCATCTACAAGAATACAGTGACAGTGAATTATCTACTGTTATATGTATTAAAAAAAAGTGGTGCTAATACTATAATATAAATTAAGATATATAAATGTTATTTTTGTGAACTTATATCTGTCTCCTTTGATTTGAGCACCTTACGACTGCTATACTACTAGGTCATCATCTGGTGACAAAACAGTATTCCTCATTTGAATAGAGATTGGCTAAAGGTTGCTGTCCCAAAAAGTGTAATTGTAATTATGTGGTGGGGCTCTTTCACATTTGTTGGTCCTTCTAACAGAACTTCATAGGCCACACTTTTAAGATAATTGAAGATTGCAGTCTTCTGGGTTATTGCACCATGTAGTCTGGTAGATTTCCACCAACGTTTCAGAGGTCATACTGCCTCTGTCATGAAGGTGATGTTGCACCAAGTAGTCTGGTAGATATTATTAACCAACATTTCAGAGGAGCTCACTGCCTACATCATCAGGGTTATTTTGTCATTAAAAGTTACTTGAAGACATCCCTTACCTTTCCCAATAATATACTTCACCCATAGTGTCATAATCTTATCCACTGTGTCGCCGTTAAAGGCATGTTGTAGTCTGTAGTGTCCAATTTTAATTACTTGTGCTACCAGTTAGTCATATGGAATAATGCCAGATACATTTTTCCATTCAGCATTCTGATGTAATTGTTCTCAATCAACCACTTACAACTTACAAGCCAGTGTTTTTATTCTCATTACAAGGGATATGTTGTTAGACCCCAGGGTAAGGGAATAAGTCCTAGGAATTCAGGAAATAAAATGAAGTTTACTGATTTTACCAAAGGTTTATATAGTTATAATTATCCAATTAACACTTGAATGTTGGGCTGCTGGAGTGATAGTTTTATTAAATTAGGTAATATAGGCTATAAAGTAGCAATTGTGATTTTGATGTAATTTTTGAACTTACATTGCATTACCCTTGCATTAGTGATTTAACAGCAGTGCATTCTTTTATTTTCCTTACTTAGTAAAATTTTAGAAGTGTGAAGCATGTAAAACTTGAAGTGCACTTGACATTACTTATTATGTATGCATGAGTAACAAAAAAAATTCTCATTAGTTTCTAGTACAGTGATCAAATCATACAGGATGGCTTATAGCACACAAGGGAGGGATGAGAAATTAACACAACATTTTAATCAGAAAATATGAATAGAAGGGGCAAGATGGAAAATTTAGGCCCAAATATGAGGATAATATTAAAATGAATGGGGTCATCTGTCAGGACCTCAGAATGATTGAAAGAATTTGAGAAATTGTTTGTGAATTACAGAATGCATGCAATTTGCGATAAAGTATGCACTTTAAATGTCTTACTTTGTGGGAATTTTGAAACTAGTTACTCTACTGTGACAGTCCACCAGCGCATTGGTGTATTTTAGTTGGGGATTGGATTGCTGTGCACTGAAGTCTTCCCCACTCTCAAGGTCTGGCCCCTGCCAACTGTTACCTGATCCCAGGAATTAAATCACTGATCAAAGAACAGAGGTTCTAGTCGGCACAGATTGTGTAATAGGTTGTGATAGCTGTTTAAGAAGGTTGCAAGTAAAGGTCTGCTAGGGTGTTTTCAGAAATGTGTGACAGCATAAGGGAACTAGTGTGAAGGTGTTGTGCAGCAAAACCAACCATGAAGATGGATACTTTCACATAGGCAGTTATTATGTTGCTTGAATCTAGTGTTTTTCTTTCTTTCTTTCTTCACTGCACTAGACTTCTTCCTTTAATCTTCATCATATGGCCTTTAAATCTGTCTGATGGGAAAACATCCCAGTTGAAGGTGGTGGTTGTTCATGGTGATGACGACTAAATACTGTAGTTGCAGTTTTAAATATTATTACACTTATACTGTTTGAGAAATGTATGATTACTGTACCTCTTTTTTTTACCAAGTGTTTACAAGGTGCTAAGTAATTATTTATCATGCAGAATTTCTTGATAATTGTGGCATTGTTGCAGAAAATGGTATTCCACATAGAACAAAATTTATTTGTGAATGCTTGATTAGTGACAACATCAACAGAAACTTTTCTAAGGGAATTGAGAATGTCCTGAATAATTGAATAATTCAGCATAAACTATTTCCATGTGTGACCATGAAATTGAGTTTGCTGCCTGTGTTGTTAAAGTTAAATATTCATGTTTTACAGGGATGTGTTTGAAGAAAGATGATATAGCAGTAAGTTTGGGAACCAGTGACACATTATTCCTGTGTCTTAGTCAGCCCAAAGTTATTCTTGATGGTCATATCCTCAGCAGTCCAGTGGATAAAGATGCATATATGGTTCTCTTGTGGTAAGTATTGCAGATAGTAATTGTACCATAGGTATGAAATGTGAAGCAGCAGGTTGGTACTTGATGAATTTCAGTTATTCACTTCTGAAATTAGTTCTTAGGTATAAACAAGGAAAAATGAACATTGCTTTTCAGAATTTCATTTTAATTGTATGTCATAAAATATCGTCACAATTAGGGTTCGGATGTTCCTAACATGTCATATTTTTATTCTATTTTCATTCTAAACTGAAATTAAACACTAATTGGGTTATTTTAATGACAATTAGACTGTTTTTATTTTGCATATAAATGCATATTTAGGTCATTTTTATGTGTTTGGTGATATTTGTAGTTAAAGTTATATTTTGAGGATAAAATTCATATTTTGGGTATAAACTTTTACTTGTAACTACATTTCTCAGACACTTACAGTGAATCCCTATGTGAAATGATGGCGCCTGCCAACTGAACAAAGTGAACAATGAGTAGTTCAAATTTTTCTTGGAGAAATACAAGACTCAGTTAATTTCAGATGAATCAACTCTAAGGATAAACTATGTACCTGCCTGTTATGAAGATGTTCTGAAAAGATTTACATGTACTGTAGGCAACAATAAGATTTGGGTTTTGATTGATGAAACAACAGATCTCTGTGGCAGATATGTAGCGAATGTCATTATTGACATGCTCTTTGCTGATCGCGCTGGTGACTTATTCCTTCTTGATACAGTAAACCACTCCTCTATCGCTGTAATTTTCGATAACACCATGAAACGTTTGTGGTGTCTCAAGTTACAAGACCATATTGTGTGACAATCTAAGAAGATTTTCATTTGAGACCTTGAAAATGCAAATCGATATATATTGTAATGCTGCCAAGAAAGGAGAATGAAGAAAGGTACTTAATATTTTGAATTTTGTTTATTTATTTATTTGTAATTAATAAATTTGAAATGAATGAAAGGCTCTTTCTTAAAATTTATCTCATTTTTATAGGAGCACGTATACTCAACATCTGATGGTGATCCAAAACGAGGCATTTACAACTTAAAGCGACTGAGGTTTTTGATTAAAATTGCTAGGAAATCAAGTAATGTAATAGTTGCACATGCATATGTAAATAAATAAAAAGTAAAACTAAAGTTTGTCCCACTATACGCCATGTAGGCGTTTGGGGTGAGTGGTCAGCATCACGCCCCGACCGGCTCTACCCCCGGGAAAGGACCCCGGTACCGCTTTTTTTTAATTTTAGCTAATATTTTTTCGTAACAAATTAGGTCATATTTTTCTATTTTTGGGGGGCATATTTGCATGCATATTTCTCGGTTTTTTAGGTCATGAACATCCGAACCCTAGTCATCATCATGATCATCTACTACAGGGATTGGGCCTATTTGCCTGTTCCGGGACAGTTGCTCAAGGCAACTTGTCCTTATTAGTCTTGTAAGGTGCATTTGATTAGTGAGTGACAAACCCACTGCCTCTGCACAATTTCTACTTAATCCTGATTTTGACTGCCAGAGCCATCTAGCAGTGAATCAGGGGAGACATGGGTGAGAAATGGCCACTGAATTTTGCTTATGAAACATCTCATATCATGCTCATAGGGTTCTCTTACGTGCCATAAATCTACGACATGGTACAGTTGGCTTTACTTCCCCTCCAAAGGTAGTTGTGCTATGGATTTTTATCACCCTTAAAAATCCATTGACCTCTGTTGGGTTTGAACCCGCGAATCTTGGGTCCAGTGGTGAGCATACTAATCACTAGTCCATCGAGGATTTGATTTATGTTTATTATCCCTTTAAAAATCAGTAGAAACTACATGTCCCACCTGCTTCAGTAATCAGAAATTATTTACACTGTATTTATGGTTTTGTATGATTCTCAGAATAAGTAGGGAATACTTCCTTGAAAAATATTAATCATTTCATCTTTGTAATGCCAAGGCGTGGGTCTTTATTTGCACTAGGCTGAATTCTTAAATATTATTTTGATGAGCTTTTTATTCAGAAAGTTACTGAACAGTTATTTAGCTTAAAAAGTGGTATCTCTTAAAAGTTTCAGTTTTTAAGAATGGAAACAGATCAGACTATCTAAACAAGACATATCAGTGAAGATGGATTGATAGGGGTGGACTTGTGTGTAGGGCTGCAAGATTTTACACCATCCTTCTTTTTCATGGTGCTAATTAAATAACTCAGTTTATGAGCAGTAGCCACAGAATGTTTACTGCCTGGGATACCGTATCACCAAGGCATGCAGAACAGTAATGCCAGGAACAATGAATATCAAGAGTGTCCCAAAAGTGGCATTTGATGTCTTATGTAACTCAAGGTTACCAGTTCAAACACTTTGTGTAGTACAAAATATAGACTAACATTTTTAAGTAAGACTGTATTATGGTTGTTGTGTAGGACTGAATAACAAGAATATGGAAGGCTATGCTTTCCCCACCATCAAAAATGGGGTTGGTGGTGATTTGTAACATTTTTTTAAAAAAACTCTGAATATCTCCAGCACAGCACCAACGGATGGGTTTACCCCAGAAAAGGAAGACATATTTAGCAAAATTTTGCTGACTTGCACTAAAATATTTTTCTTTGTAGGTACACTTTCCTTCCTTTCACAAACACTTAACACTGCCCTTTTCTATTGTCAGACAGTTGTATATTAATGTAGTCATTTGTACATACCTATATCTGTGAAGTACTTCCTTATTATGACCAGCCTGTGAATTATATTCAAACTAAATTGTGTTTGCATACTGTATATTAGTTAACTCTAAGTGTGTGGAAAACACTTTCAGTACAGAAGAGTGTGCTACTTAGCCAAAGAGTAGTGAGACTGGAATGGTATAATTCATACTGGGATACACATGTTTTTGCAGATGGTCAATTCTTGATAGAAGATCTTACTTAAACAACTTTAGTTTCAAGCTATACAAATTGTGGTCATAGTGTCTTCTTTAACTGATGTAAATCAATACCAGAACATTATAAGGCACATTATCTTTGTGGTAGCATGCTGGACTCATAAGCATGGTGTGATGGGATCAAATTCTGGTCAAGTGAGCACAATTTTTTTCATCCAGCCACCATTTTGTTATTGTACTTTGTACAAACATTTAATAAATTTTTGGTTTGGTATTTTAAAAAATGAATGACCATAATTAACTGTATGGACCTATTGCAAGTGGAACTAGTATTGATTGCACCTCACAAGTTTCTTCGTCTGCCATGTTGGTATTACAGATTGCAGGAAATTTAAAAGAACAATTTTTGGCTATGGCATAACATACCATAATCCAGCGTACCTAACGTAACCTAACCCAGAGGGGGGCTCCGCTCCAATCAGCAGGCACTGTTCCACACATTAGGCTCAACCCAACCTACAAACACCTTGCTATCCCTGTTGGGGCCTCTGCCTCATCCATTGGGCTCACCTCATTGCTCACAACAATGGATGCGCTACTGATGAATCACTCCATGGCACAATACACCAGGCCCCCTTCCTGGTATACA